TAGCCCCGGTCTCCTTCATGGTTCAAAATGTACTGCTGACCCTGGGTTTTTTTTGTTGTTGTTGGTTTTTGTTTTTGTTTTTCCCTATTAGGATTATGGGGGGACTTTGGTAGTTTAAACTCTTTAACCTTTTCCTTGCTGTGTATGAGGAAAGCTAAAGCTGTTATCAACTTCTTATTCTACGGATACTAACACGGGTTTTCAGTGTTTGTTTGTTTTTATTATTATTAATTTTGCGTGATGTGAATACTCTCTTCCCATCAATATTTGTATTATGGTGCTATATATTTGGTAATGATCCTTTAATATTGGGAAGGGATTTTAAAAATACTGTGATTCAACTGGGTTTCTTCCTTTGATTTTCATATTTTAAATAAAGCCACAGTCATTTATACAAAAGAAAAGCATCTGTCCCTGGGCAAATCTTTTGAGGACAGAGGTCAAAGTAAACTGCATAAGGTTTTTACATCGTTTCTGTATGTATTTGATATATAGATCAATATCTGTACAAATTTAATCTTTTATTTTCTTGGTAACTTGTGATCATTGAGAAAGTGTTTGAAACTTTCTCATGAAGTGTATATATATATAATGGCGTGAAAAATTCCTTCAGAGAAATTTATGTTCCTTTCATTTTTACCAAATTGCAAATTTTCAGCATGGATGTGAAAAGCATTAAAATTATAACTTTGTGTACAAGATGAAAATAATTCACTAAATTTGCCCTTTTTTTACACAAAATAAAATGTTAAAGTTAATTTGTATTTGAGTAATTCTTTAATATTCTTCAGCAGGGAGGTCTGGTTTTCTTCATTCAAAATATTGAGAAGCTGTTAGCCATCTCTGCAAAAGCTGATCAGTCCTTTACTTGAAGAGCCAGTAATCTAATGGGATTAAGCAAGCACAAGTGCCGTGAGGGAGAATGTCGTGGTTGTATACAGGCTTAGGAAGGTTCTCCATCTCAAAGTTTCTCTGAAAATCACTGACACTAGGCAGACTTTGCTGTTCACAATAGCACGTTTGCATACCAGAGAGAGACACCACACACACACACACACACACCCTCCCAGGTGTCCTCACACTGCAGCCCCTTACCCCGGATCTTGGCCAAACCCGGACACGCCCAGCACACTGCAGACCAGCCCGAGGACCCAGGCCTGCAGTGGGCTGGGCAGCTTCGGGCCCCACAGTGCAGTGTGCTGCCAGCCACTACGGGCTGGGCCAGTGGGAGGCAGGCGGCTGAGAGAGAGGCAGGAGGGTACTTAACACATACAGTTGTTTTCTGCAGGAGCCATTCAAAATCACAAACTCACAGAGGGACCACATGTCTGTGCCATAAACAATTTTTAGGGAGAGGAAAAGGTCTCCGTCCTCAGACAGTGGTGAAATAATTCTCCCTGGGAGCTAGATGGGTCTGCAAGGCGGGCCAGGTGTGCTGGCCTTCTTCAGCCTGCCTTTCTGCGATGCAAGCCTGGTTATGAAACCTCGGGAAGGACTGAAGGTAAGCGTTTCTTTGGTGAGTCCAGTTTACAGGCCAATAATGGAATCCTGCTGCTGATGAACAGAAAACAAGTTCGCAGAGAGGAGATTTATGTCTCAGCCATAGCTGCAATTGTACAACTCAGTAGCCCCGGTCTCCTTCATGGTTCAAAATGTACTGCTGACCCTGGGTTTTTTTTGTTGTTGTTGGTTTTTGTTTTTGTTTTTCCCTATTAGGATTATGGGGGGACTTTGGTAGTTTAAACTCTTTAACCTTTTCCTTGCTGTGTATGAGGAAAGCTAAAGCTGTTATCAACTTCTTATTCTACGGATACTAACACGGGTTTTCAGTGTTTGTTTGTTTTTATTATTATTAATTTTGCGTGATGTGAATACTCTCTTCCCATCAATATTTGTATTATGGTGCTATATATTTGGTAATGATCCTTTAATATTGGGAAGGGATTTTAAAAATACTGTGATTCAACTGGGTTTCTTCCTTTGATTTTCATATTTTAAATAAAGCCACAGTCATTTATACAAAAGAAAAGCATCTGTCCCTGGGCAAATCTTTTGAGGACAGAGGTCAAAGTAAACTGCATAAGGTTTTTACATCGTTTCTGTATGTATTTGATATATAGATCAATATCTGTACAAATTTAATCTTTTATTTTCTTGGTAACTTGTGATCATTGAGAAAGTGTTTGAAACTTTCTCATGAAGTGTATATATATATAATGGCGTGAAAAATTCCTTCAGAGAAATTTATGTTCCTTTCATTTTTACCAAATTGCAAATTTTCAGCATGGATGTGAAAAGCATTAAAATTATAACTTTGTGTACAAGATGAAAATAATTCACTAAATTTGCCCTTTTTTTACACAAAATAAAATGTTAAAGTTAATTTGTATTTGAGTAATTCTTTAATATTCTTCAGCAGGGAGGTCTGGTTTTCTTCATTCAAAATATTGAGAAGCTGTTAGCCATCTCTGCAAAAGCTGATCAGTCCTTTACTTGAAGAGCCAGTAATCTAATGGGATTAAGCAAGCACAAGTGCCGTGAGGGAGAATGTCGTGGTTGTATACAGGCTTAGGAAGGTTCTCCATCTCAAAGTTTCTCTGAAAATCACTGACACTAGGCAGACTTTGCTGTTCACAATAGCACGTTTGCATACCAGAGAGAGACACCACACACACACACACACACACCCTCCCAGGTGTCCTCACACTGCAGCCCCTTACCCCGGATCTTGGCCAAACCCGGACACGCCCAGCACACTGCAGACCAGCCCGAGGACCCAGGCCTGCAGTGGGCTGTGCAGCTTCGGGCCCCACAGTGCAGTGTGCTGCCAGCCACTACGGGCTGGGCCAGTGGGAGGCAGGCGGCTGAGAGAGAGGCAGGAGGGTACTTAACACATACAGTTGTTTTCTGCAGGAGCCATTCAAAATCACAAACTCACAGAGGGACCACATGTCTGTGCCATAAACAATTTTTAGGGAGAGGAAAAGGTCTCCGTCCTCAGACAGTGGTGAAATAATTCTCCCTGGGAGCTAGATGGGTCTGCAAGGCGGGCCAGGTGTGCTGGCCTTCTTCAGCCTGCCTTTCTGCGATGCAAGCCTGGTTATGAAACCTCGGGAAGGACTGAAGGTAAGCGTTTCTTTGGTGAGTCCAGTTTACAGGCCAATAATGGAATATCAGCATAAAATATGTGTTTTGAGAGAAAAGGGATCAGATATGATCCAGAAATGGTGGCCAGGAGTATAAACACCTTTGAGGTATCAGTTTCAGAGCTCCAATACTGGCAAAGGAGGAAGGAACCAGCAGATGGCATCATGGTTACGTCCTGGACTCCCATGTAGTCAACCATAGTTTGAGTCCTGAACCCGGCAGCTTTAAATCTCATGCCAGGTGGGTGTGCATGCATGCCCAAAATCCCAAGAGAATGGAGAAGGGATTACAGCATGGCTATTCCTCCTAAGGGGTGTTTTCTTGCTTTCTGTCTCTGTCTCTGTGTTTCCAGTAAGCACACACACCCTATAACAAAAATCTCTCAAAAAAAAAAAAAAATGGTTGGGACCAGCAGTTAGCATAATGGCTATGTCGCTGAACTCCCATGTAGTCAGCCATGGTTCGAGTCCCGGACCCGGTGGCTTATACTCACCCCGGGCACTTGTGCCTGTGTGCCCAAGATCCTGAGAGGAAAATGAAGGACAAGGGATTGTGGCATGGCCATCCCCCCCAGGGGGGTGATTTCTCACTTTTTGTCTTTCTCTCTCTGGTGAGTGCACGCACCCTGTAGCAGAAACTTCTCCAAAAAAATAAAAAGGCTCATGGAGGGGGCCAGCAGGTGGTATGGATCATATGTGGCCAACTGCACAAATCAAGTACCTGAAATGGCTTGAAAATCACAACAGCACATGTGTGTACACGTATGTGGCCCAAAATCCCAAGAGAAGGGGTTGTATGGCCATCCCCCGTGGGGGGTGATTTCCTCACTTTCCCTCTCTCCCCTCCTGTTTCTTGGCCGAACACACACACTTAGTAGCAAGATAGATATAGTTCATGGGGGACCAGCTGTGGTGATTAAAGTGGCTCGATCCCACATAATTGACTAGACAATATGAAGCTTGGACTGGTAGCCTGAGAAACAGCAGGTAGCTATGTGCACAAAATCCCAAAAAGAAGGCAGAGATGGCAGTGCTATTATTTTGGTGGGTTTTTTGTTTGTTTGTTTGTTTGTTTTGGAGAGGTTTTCGCTATAGGGCACATGTGCTCACCAGACAGACAGACAGAAGGTGAGAAATCACCCCCCAGGGGGGATGGTCACGCCGCAATCCCTTCTCCTCTATTCTCTTGGGATCTTGGGCATGCACGCACAAGCATCCCACGTGAATTTTAAGCCACCAGGTCCGGGACGCGGACCACCGTTGACTACGTGGGAGTCCAGCGACATAGCCATTACGCTAACTGCTGGTTCCCTCCATTTCTTGAGTCAGTCAACAAAAATGTAAATCTGGATCACCTGATTAATCTACATACTTTACTCCAAGTTTCAATTAAGTCCTTCTTACAGAAATACATGTTTCTGGGCCAGCAGGTGGCATGGTAGTTAAGGCATGTGGATTCCCACATGGCTGACCGTGGTTTGAGTCCCAGACCTGGTAGATGGCTTTCTCACCCTTTCTCTATCTCTGATCAAATTTTAAAAATAATAATAACAAATGGAATTAAATAAATAGATATTAAACAAAAAAGAAAAATATGTTTCTACATTAGCTAAAGTCTTTATGAGGATACGTATTTCCTTATTAGTTCCCATCAGGGCATGACCAGTACCATGCTTTTCCTTTTCAGCCCTACTGCTTTCCCTCCTAGTAGGTCTTGAAGTATTCCCAGGTTCTGAGAAGTCTTGGCTCATTCTTTCATAACAGACACGATTAATTAGTTTGGATAATGCCATTAGGGCCAGGGAGCCGAGCCACTTCTTCCAGTTTACTATCAAATAAGCACAGGGGACTGGGGCCAGTTCCCAAAGGCTTTATTGGTACATACACTTTAGAAAAGAATGACTGATCCTATGGTCGAGTCAGTGGAATGACGAGCTGTGTCCAGGGACCCATCAAGCCGAGCTGCAGGGCTGGCTGCTGTTCTTGTCCCCTCATTCGTAGAGCCAGTCATGAGCACAAGACTTGTAGTCAACCAATTCCTCAGGCTTAAACCACAGGCTGATTTCTTTTTCAGCACTTTTTACTGAATCACTGCCATGAATGATGTTCCTAAAAAAGAGAACAATTTAGTTACCTCATGTCTTAAAATGCAAAAGTCTGTTTAATGGGTATAGCAAAGGGTGGCCACTGCAGACCTTTTCAGCCAAACTGTCACTTGAAGTGTTAGACCAATTATACTCCGAAGTATTTTCTTTCTTCTTTATTCATCATGGAGGACACACATGTGAGAGGGAAATGGGAAGCACTCTCTAAAGTATCTGCTCACAGAGCAATCCCCTTTCTCTAGTCCTCTGGCCCACTGGATCTTCGGTACTTGCATGTATGTCTGGTGAGTTTCAAGCTCATCAGACCAGGGATTTGAACCACTGTCCCCATGTAGAATCCAGCTTCTCTCATGCAGCACCTTACTGCTGTGCCATGGAGCTAGTCTACTTTTTTGCTGCTGTTGAGATAAGATCTCATTATGATGCCAAAGCTCCTGTCCTGGAATTCACAATCCTCCGGCCTCGCCTTCCAATTAGCTGAGACTACAGGAATGGGCCACTGGGCCTGGTTCCCCCAAAGCATTTCCTTTTAAAAACAATTATAGGTGCCAGCAGGTATTATGGTGGTTGAGGTACTGGACTTCCACATAGCCAACCGCGGTTCAAGTCCCAGACCTGGCAGCTTCTTTCTCATTTTCCCTCTCTATCTGTCCCTCTTTGGTCAAATTTTAAATAATGATAAATAAAATTAAGTAAATTTTAAAAAAAAATCAATTTTTGAAAAATTAATTTTCTATACTCCCAAATGGCCAAACCGCGGTCTGAGTTCTGGATCCTGTTGCTTGAAAATCAGAGAGCAGATAGCATAATGGTTACATAGCTGGACTCGCACGTAGTCAACCACAGTTCGAGTCCCAGACCCAGTGGCTTAAACTCACTCCAGGCACGTGTGTGTACATGCATGCCCAGGATCCAGAGAGGAGAATGGAGGAGAAGGGACTGCAGCGTAGCCATCCCTCTTAGGGAGTGATTTCTTCTCGCTTTCTGTCTCTCTGTCTCTCTGGTGAGTGCACGTGCCCTATAGCAAAAACCTCTCAAAAAAAAAAAACAGAAAGAAAGGAAATCATGCTGGGTACGTGTGTGTGCATGCCCAAAATCCCGAGAGGAAAATGGAGGAGAAAGGATTGTGGCATAGTCATACCCCCAGGAAGTAACTTCTCACTTTCCCTTTCTCTGTCTCTCTGTTTCTCTCTGGTGAATACAAACACCTATGACAAAAAAAATCTTTTTTAAAAAAATCTTAATTAAAAAAAAAAGCAACTATTATGTTGTATTATGTTGCTTGTTTTCAAAGATCCCCTGGTTTAGGGACCAGCAGATGGCTGGTGGCTGAGTCCCAGACCTGGTGGCTTGCTTTCTCACTTTCTCTGGTCAAATTTAAATGAATGAATGAATGAGCAAATAATTCTTTTTAAAAAATATATCGGGGGGAACAGCAGGTGATGTGGTGATTAAGGCGCTGGATACTCCCACACGGGCGACCACAGTTCAAGTCCTGAACCTGGTGGCTTGCTTTCTTGCTTTCTCTCTCTCTCTCTCTGTCTCTTATCTAGTCAATTGAAATAAATGAATAAATAAAATGAAATAAATAACTTAAAAAAAAATACATCAGAAAGGCATTTTAAAAAAAAAAAAGATCCCTTGGTTTAAATGCATTATGCTTCTAAGTCCCTGTACCCCGAGAATGCTGCTGCTGCAAAACATTCCAGTCCAAATTTTCAAAAATATAGGAACAGTCAAACCTACTCCAGGCCAAACCCCTAACTAGAACTGTTACATTTTCTATCAAGGGCCATTCTGTTTTATCTTGTAACATCGACTTAAAAAGTTCCACCAGGACATTAATTGCTTATTACTAGCAATCCCTTTATTCCACTTGAATCTCTAACTTTGTAGGTTTTGTATAAGTTTGTACAGGTGAGGGAACCAAAAGATTAAGTGACACACCTACAGACATGCCAAAAGGGCAGAGGCCAGGCTAGAACCCTTCCTCTCCCCTCAGCTTAGTACCTTCTGTTGTACCACACAGGAACTACTACTACATGCAACAGCCTTGTAGACTGTCTTAGTTAGATTTCGTTGTTTTTTGTTTTTGTTTTTAATTTGCCAAAGGACACGTGTGCTTGCCAGAGAGAGTGAGCGTGCAACACGGAAAGAGCACTACCAAGCAGTCACACTGCAATCCCATCGTCATTACTCCATCCTGTTGAGCTCTTGGGCATGCACGCACAGCTGCCTAGCGTGGTTTTTTCAAGCCACGAGATTGAAGATCTGAACTACAATTGGTCATGTGGGATCCAGTTCCCTGAACTACTAGGACACAGGACCAACCCTTGGCTAAAATTTTAAATAACCTAGAGAAGCAGCTATTGGATGGTCAAAAAAGTCATGATTTTTTTCTAGAAAGAAGTATTTAACTTTATTTATTTATTTATTTAAATTTGGCCACAGAGAGACAGAGTGGGGGGTGGGGGAGTGAGAAAGCAAGCCATTAGGAGGTCTGGGACTTAAACTGCGAGTACAGCCCCCTTAAACACCATGCCACCTGCCGACCCCAATGATGTTTTTTTCTATACAAAAATGTGCCATGAAATGTGGAGTCCAGAGACTTAACCACTATGCCACCTACTGGCCCCATTTATAAAAACTTCCAGTGATAATCACCACCCAATTTAAAAGTTCAATTTTTTCTAAACCTGGGGTATGTCCAAATGTTTGCACAGTATTCCATTTAAACAGCATGGAGTAAATGTCAATCAACAGCCCTCTCAAGGACTTACCTGCCCACTTGAATGCAGAAGTCCCCACGGATGGTGCCTGGCTTCGAATCTGCTGGATTGGTCTCCCCAAGCATCACTCGGCCTGTCTTCACCACATTCAGGCCCTCCCAGACCTGAGTGGTAGGAAATGGAATGAATTACAGCAGATCTGCCACTCAGGGCCATTAGCAACATTCACTCCTACCCAAAAGCACACAGTATAAGCCAATCCGTGATGCTTATCAAATTCAGGTGTACTGCTAAGAATACAAAACAAAGTATGAAGAGAACTCACAGAAAAATGGAATTTAAGAGTTGATTTGAGGGGCCAGAGGGGCATGGTAGCTAAAGCACTAGAATTCTCACATGGCCAACTACAGTTCAAGTCCTGGACTTGGCGACTTGCTTCCTCTCTCTCTCTGTCTTTCTCTGGTAAGTTTCATGTGAAATAATAATAATAAAACAAATAATTCTTTTAAAAAAAAGAGTTGATTTTGGGAGGCCAGCAGGTGGCATGGTGGTTAAGGTGGTGGACCCCCCACATGGCCCACTACAGTACGAGTCCTGGACCTGGCACTTGCTTTCTCACTTTCCCTCTCTGTCTCTCTGGTGAGTACATGTGCTCGATAGCAAATGAAAAAATAAATACATAAATAAATAAAATGTTAAAGAGTTGATTTTAGTGAAGAAAACATCAAAGTCCATGCATGGGTTACTCATTTTCCATGAACTTTCTGAAGACTGCCTCTCCTTTCCCCCCATATACTCAACTTGGGACTTCCCAGTCTAGCTGAGATAGGTAAACAAGAAGACTGAAGAATCTTATGCAGCCACAAACACTGAGGACACAGTGAAGAAGGGGTAGAGAAAAGTGGCCAAACTGGAACAGGATCAGTGGAAAGGGGACCCTAAAGCATGTTAGAGCAGTAGAAAGTCATACTCAGGGGACCGGAAGTAGGTCTACTTGCTCAACAACCGTAGTGGCTCCCTATGTACTCCCTCACTTCTGTACTCTTCACTCCCACAGGGACAGTAACACCACCCAGAAGTTGTTTGCTTCCAAGACAAGACAGAGAACTTTCGCTTCATGTGTTACATGCAGTTGACTTTCGAACAACACGGGATTAAACCATGTAAGTTTATGTACAGATTTTTGTTTTTCAATAAATACTGCTAATGTGTTTTCTCTTGCTTATGATTTTCTTAACATTTCCTTTTCTCTAGCTTACTTCATTTTCTTTATTAGATTGGTTTTTTAATTAATGTATTTATTTTTGCTATAGGGCACATGTGCTAGCCAGAGACAGAGAACAAGCAAGAGGGAAGGAAAGTGAGAAATAACTCCCCAGGGAGAAGCAGCAACCCCTTCTCCTCTGGTCACCTCTCAAGATTCTGGGCATGAACACACAGACCCAGCACAATTTTCAAGTCACCAGGTCCAGGACTTGAACCATGCAGCCAGCCATGTGGTATCTAGTGCCTTAACCTCCATGCCACCTGATGGCCCTCTCTAGTGTAACTTATTGTAAAGATACAATATATAACCCACATAACATAAAATATGTGTTTACTGTTAATGTTATTAGTAAGGTTTCCAGTCAATAAGAGATTATCAATTAAGTTTGGGGTGGGGGGGGTCAAAGGTTATATACTAGTCCAGGGACCACCAGGTGGCATAGTGGTTACGGCGCTGGATCCCACACGGCATCTGAGCATTCAAGCCCCAGACGCAGCAGCTTGAAAGTCACACTGGACCCCTGTGTATGCATGCCTAAAATCCCAAGAGACTGGAAGGGACTGTGGCCTGGTCATCCCCCAGGCAGTTGATTTCTCATTTTCCCTCTCTGTCACTCTCCAGCAAGCACACACACCCTATAGCTGAAAGGAACAAACAAAAGTTGATACCAGTCCACCCACAGTAATGTGCTAAAACACTGCTATACAGCTGGCTGAGGTCACACAAAGCCAAATTCAATTCCAAGCCTATCATTAAAGGCTGCCCTGGTGGCATGTCCCAGCTGCTCTTAAGGCTGAGTCTGAAAGACTATGTCCCTACCTGAAAAAAAGTTTGGGACCAGCAAGTGGCATGGTGGTTAAGGTGTTGAATTTTTTTTTTTTTTTTGGTAAGGGGTTTTTGCCTTAGGGTATATGTGCTTACAGAGGGTGGGGTACTGAGGCAGGGAGAGGGAAAGTGAGAAATCACCCCCCCATGGGAGGAGTGGGATGGCCACCCAGCAATCCCTTCTCTTTCATTCTTTTCCCAGAATCTTGGACACACTTGCACATGTATCCACTGTGAATTTCAAGCCACTGGGTTTGGGACTCGAATTGCAGTCAGCGATGTATAAGTCCATCAACATAGCCACTAAGCCATCTGCTGACCCCAGGTGCTAGATTTTTATACGGCTGACCATAGTTCAAGTCTCAGACCCAGTGGTTTGAAAATCATGCCAGCACATGTGCACGTAGGCCCAAAATCTCAAGAGAAGAGTGGAGAAGGGACTGCAGCATGGCCATCCCCCCCTGGGGGGGATTTCTCATTTTTTCTCTTTGTCTCTCTTGGAGATCGCATGAGCCCTGTGGCAAAAACCTAAAAAATTTTTTTAAGTTTTATGTTGAACTTTGACTGTGTAGGGGTTGGTGCCTGCCCCCAACCTCCATGTTGTTCAAGGGTCAACTGTACTCGTTTGAATTTTTCATGCGAATACAGAGAAAAGTGTTTTTTAATCTAGTAAACATTAAAACACTACCAAACATGAGAAAACAGGACATTTTTGTGATCCATGAGCCTACAAAACCCCAGAGAGACTGTACCTTTTGCCCAAGGTAAGAATCCCTTTGTTTCCCCTCCAACTTCCTGGAGTTCCTGGTTGCTCTACTAAGTCAACTCTAGCAGGCTCCATTTGTAAAACAAAGAATGTATAGAGTGTCTGGAGAAGATGTCTAAAAGGGAACATAAAAGCAACAGAAACTTTTTTCCAGGGTCCATGCATTCCCCAAAGCACTCACCATGGCCACTACTGGCCCAGAGTTCATGTACTTGACCAACCCTGGGAAGAATGGGCGGTCCTTCAGGTCAATGTAGTGCTGCTTCAGGTGCTCCTCTGAGGCCTGGCATGGAAGAGGGTGTCCCAGTTAGGAAACAAGCTGGAAAGGCTCCAAGATGGCCCACCCCAAACTGAGCCTGTTAACATGGTCGTTCTCCAAAAGTTCACTTTGATATTTTAACCCACAGTTATAAGGTCTGTGTGTTAAAAATCCAGTGGCACAGTTCAAACATATTGCTCAAGTGATCCTGGATCCTTATGGAAAATCACAGGTTTGGCTCTCTGGTAGACTCCCCCTCTACCAGGCATGCGGATCCTTATGGAAAATCACAGGTTTGGCTCTCTGGTAGACTTGCCCTCTACCAGGCATGCATGTGCCCATGACCCTAGCAGTAAGGGTCATGGTGTGACCTTGCTGAGGGTACTTGCCCCTCTCTGACCCTCAGTCTCATCAAAGAAACTTTTGAAAAATTGGGGCTAGCAGCTGGTGTGGTGGGTTAAGGAGGCTAGATCCCACAAGGCCAACTATGGTCAGTCCTGACACAGCTGCTTGTAAAACACACCAGGTGCCTGGGCAATCATGCCCAAAATCCCTAGAGGAGAAGGGACTAGAGAGTGACCATCCCCCCCCCAAGGGGGTACTCTGTCTCTATGTCTCTGGCAAGTGTATGCAACTACAGCAAAAATTTTAAAATGGATCATAAGGCCAGCTCTATAGCCTAGAGGTTAGGGGAGCCAGACCCCACATGGCAAATAAGGGCTTGACTCACAGCCGGAGCCCCCAGGCCCATGTGCACGAGTGCCCAGAAGCCCAACAGGATGTGAAAATGGAAAAGGGACTGCAAAATAACCACGCTCCCCTCTCTGGCCAGTGTAAGTATCCTCTGGCAATTAAAAAATAAAAAGTCTTCAGGCCACACAGGTAGTGTGAAGGGTAAGGAGGTCAGATCCCAAATGGCTGACTGTGCAGTTTGAGTCCTGGACCCAGCAGCTTGACAAACACACTAGGTACATGTGCAAGCGTGCCCAAAATCCAGACAGAAGAATGGAGAAGGGATTGTGGCATGAACATCCCCTCTGGGAGGTCTCTCTCTCTCTCTCTCTCTCTCTCTCTCTCCAGTGCTCGAGCCCTCTACCAAATTAAAACAAATCCAAAAAAAAAAAAAAAATCCTCATAATGTAAATGACCTTATGGGTTTTACAATCCTAAATAGGTGGTTTGAAAATGTAGATTAGGGAGTTATATGCTGGCCTGCAACTGAAGGAAATATGCCAGACAGAGATCACCTCAAACTCTCCTGGCCTAGTCACGTTGCCCTTTTAAACATCTTTAAATGACAACTGAGAATACTACTCTCTTCACTGATAAGCTGGGTTAAAATTCCAGTAGTTACATACTTATCCCTTAAATAAGTGCAAAGGTTCAGATCTGTACTCCAAATCTGATGTGGAAAATACAGTGATTACTCCATGCAAAGGAGGGTCACTGCGCCTAAAACTTCAATCATCCTGAAGTTTCAGGCTAAGGCACAAGAGGATTCTGGACCTCAGGCCCAGGCGTCCAGCACCACGGGCTGCCCCACACACACACACACACCCTCCCCCGTGCGTCCGCCTGACAGGGTGGAGGCCCTAGGCTGGCCCCACCAGCCCGGGAGCAGGAGTCACGTTACCTCCGCTTAACCTTCCCAAGGGCGTCTGTCCTTCCGGGCCTCAGAATAGGGCCAGCGGGTCACCGAGCCCTGGGGAGGAGGCAGCGGGCAAAGGGATTTCCACGGGAGCGGCATGAACCAAGGAGGACTCGGACACGTGAGG